GTGTCAGTATAGTACCCCCATATAACACTCAGTTTCAGTATAGTACCCCCATTATAACACTCAGTGTCATTATAGTACCCCCATATAACACTCAGTGTCAGTATAATACCCCCATATAACACTCAGTTTCAGTATAGTACCCCCATTATAACACTCAGTGTCAGTATAGTACCCCCATTATAACACTCAGTACCAGTATAGTACCCCCATATAACACTCAGTGTCAGTATAGTACCCTCAAATAACACTTAGTACCAGTATAGTACCCCCAAATAACACTCAGTGTCAGTATAATACCCCCATATAACACTCAGTGTCAGTATAATACCTCCATATAACACTCAGTGTCAGTATAGTACCCCCATATAACACTCAGTGTCAGTATAGTACCCCCATATAACACTCAGTGTCAGTATAGTACTCCCATATAACACTCAGTGTCAGTATAATACCCCCATATAACACTCAGTGTCAGTATAATACCCCCATATAACACTCAGTGTCAGTATAGTACCTCCATATAACACTCAGTGTCAGTATAGTACCCCCAAATAACACTCAGTGTCAGTATAATACCCCCATAACACTCAGTGTCAGTATAATACCCCCATAACACTCAGTGTCAGTATAATACCCCCATAACACTCAGTGTCAGTATAGTACCCCCATATAACACTCAGTGTCAGTATAGTACCCCATTATAACACGCAGTGCCAGTATAATACCCCATTTAAGACTCAGTACCAGTATAGTACCCCCATATAACACTCAGTGTCAGTATAGTACCTCCATATAACACTCAGTGTCAGTATAGTACCCCCAAATAACACTCAGTGTCAGTATAATACCCCCATATAACACTCAGTGTCAGTATAATACCCCCATATAACACTCAGTGTCAGTATAGTACCACCATTATAACACTCAGTGTCAGTATAGTACCTCCATATAACACTCAGTGTCAGTATAATACCCCCATATAACACTCAGTGTCAGTATAATACCCCCAAATAACACTCAGTGTCAGTATAGTACCCCATTATAACACTCAGTGTCAGTATAGTACTCCCATATAACACTCAGTGTCAGTATAGTACCCCCATATAACACTCAGTGTCAGTATAGTACCCCCATATAACACTCAGTGTCAGTATAATACCCCCATATAACACTCAGTGTCAGTATAGTACCCTATAACACTCCGTGTCAGTATAGTACCCCCATATAACACTCAGTTTCAGTATAGTACCCCCATTATAACACTCAGTGTCATTATAGTACCCCCATATAACACTCAGTGTCAGTATAATACCCCCATATAACACTCAGTTTCAGTATAGTACCCCCATTATAACACTCAGTGTCAGTATAGTACCCCCATTATAACACTCAGTACCAGTATAGTACCCCCATATAACACTCAGTGTCAGTATAGTACCCTCAAATAACACTTAGTACCAGTATAGTACCCCCAAATAACACTCAGTGTCAGTATAATACCCCCATATAACACTCAGTGTCAGTATAATACCTCCATATAACACTCAGTGTCAGTATAGTACCCCCATATAACACTCAGTGTCAGTATAGTACCCCCATATAACACTCAGTGTCAGTATAGTACTCCCATATAACACTCAGTGTCAGTATAATACCCCCATATAACACTCAGTGTCAGTATAATACCCCCATATAACACTTAGTGTCAGTATAGTACCTCCATATAACACTCAGTGTCAGTATAGTACCCCCATATAACACTCAGTGTCAGTATAGTACCCCCATAACACTCAGTGTCAGTATAATACCCCCATAACACTCAGTGTCAGTATAGTACCCCCATATAACACTCAGTGTCAGTATAGTACCCCATTATAACACGCAGTGCCAGTATAATACCCCATTTAAGACTCAGTACCAGTATAGTACCCCCATATAACACTCAGTGTCAGTATAGTACCTCCATATAACACTCAGTGTCAGTATAATACCCCCATATAACACTCAGTTTCAGTATATTACCCCCATTATAACACTCAGTGTCAGTATAGTACCCCCAAATAACACTCAGTGTCAGTATAGTACCACCATTATAACACTCTGTGTCAGTATAGTACCCCCATATAACACTCAGTGTCAGTATAATACCCCCATATAACACTCAGTGTCAGTATAGTACCCCCATATAACACTCAGTGTCAGTATAATACCCCCATATAACACTCAGTTTCAGTATAGTACCCCCATTATAACACTCTGTGTCAGTATAGTACCCCCATATAACACTCAGTGTCAGCATAATACCCCCATATAACACTCAGTGTCCATAGTACCACCATAACACTCTGTGTCAGTATAGTACCCCCATTATAACAGTCAGTACCAGTATAGTACCCCCCATATAACACTCAGTGTCAGTATAGTACCCCCAAATAACACTTAGTACCAGTATAGTACCCCCATATAACACTCAGTGTCAGTATAGTACCCCATTATAACACTCGGTGTCAGTATAGTACCTCCATATAACACTCACTGTCAGTATAGTACCCCCAAATAACACTCAGTGTCAGTATAATACCCCCATTATAACACTCAGTGTCAGTATAGTACCCCCATATAACACTCAGTACCAGTATAGTACCCCCATATAACACTCAGTGTCAGTATAGTACCCCCATTATAACACTCAGTGTCAGTATAGTACCTCCATATAGTACCCCCATATAACACTCAGTGTCAGTATAGTACCCCCATATAACACTCAGTGTCAGTATAATACCCCCATATAACAGTGTCAGTATAGTACCCCCATATAACACTCAGTGTCAGTATAGTACCTCCATATAACACTCAGTGTCAGTATAATACCCCCATATAACAGTGTCAGTATAGTACCCCCATATAACACTCAGTGTCAGTATAGTACCTCCATATAACACTCGGTGTCAGTATAAGACCCCCATATAACAGTGTCAGTATAGTACCCCCATATAACACTCAGTGTCAGTATAGTACCTCCATATAACACTCAGTGTCAGTATAATACCCCCATTATAACACTCAGTGTCAGTATAGTACCCTATAACACTCCGTGTCAGTATAGTACCCCCATTATAACACTCAGTGTCAGTATAGTACCCCCATTATAACACTCAGTACCAGTATAGTACCCCCATATAACACTCAGTGTCAGTATAGTACCTCCATATAACACTCAGTGTCAGTATAGTACCCCCATATAACACTCAGTGTCAGTATAGTACCCCCATATAACACTCAGTGTCAGTATAATACCCCCATATAACACTCAGTGTCAGTATAATACCTCCATATAACACTCAGTGTCAGTATAGTACCCCCATTATAACACTCAGTGTCAGTATAGTACCTCCATATAGTACCCCCATATAACACTCAGTGTCAGTATAGTACCCCCATATAACACTCAGTGTCAGTATAATACCCCCATATAACAGTGTCAGTATAATACCTCCATATAACACTCAGTGTCAGTATAGTACCTCCATATAACACTCAGTGTCAGTATAATACCCCCATATAACAGTGTCAGTATAGTACCCCCATATAACTCTCAGTGTCAGTATAGTACCTCCATATAACACTCAGTGTCAGTATAATACCCCCATTATAACACTCAGTGTCAGTATAGTACCCTATAACACTCCGTGTCAGTATAGTACCCCCATTATAACACTCAGTACCAGTATAGTACCCCCATATAACACTCAGTGTCAGTATAGTACCTCCATATAACACTCAGTGTCAGTATAGTACCCTCAAATAACACTTAGTACCAGTATAGTACCCCCAAATAACACTCAGTGTCAGTATAATACCCCCATATAACACTCAGTGTCAGTATAGTACCTCCATATAACACTCAGTGTCAGTATAGTACCCTCAAATAACACTTAGTACCAGTATAGTACCCCCAAATAACACTCAGTGTCAGTATAATACCCCCATATAACACTCAGTGTCAGTATAATACCTCCATATAACACTCAGTGTCAGTATAGTACCCCCATATAACACTCAGTGTCAGTATAATACCCCCATTATAACACTCAGTGTCAGTATAGTACCCCCATATAACACTCAGTGTCAGTATAATACCCCCATATAACACTCAGTGACAGTATAGTACCCCCATATAACACTCAGTGTCAGTATAGTACTCCCATATAACACTCAGTGTCAGTATAATACCCCCATATAACACTCAGTGTCAGTATAATACCCCCATATAACACTCAGTGTCAGTATAGTACCTCCATATAACACTCAGTGTCAGTATAATACCCCCATATAACACTCAGTACCAGTATAGTACCCCCATTATAACACTCAGTGTCAGTATAGTACCCCCATATAACACTCAGTACCAGTATAGTACCCCATTATAACACTCAGTGTCAGTATAGTACCCCCATATAACACTCAGTGTCAGTATAGTACCTCCATATAACACTCAGTGTCAGTATAATACCCCCATATAACACTCAGTGTCAGTATAATACCCCCATATAACACTCAGTGTCAGTATAGTACCCCCATATAACACTCAGTACCAGTATAATACCCCCATATAACACTCAGTGTCAGTATAGTACCCCCATACAACACTCAGTACCAGTATAGTACCCCATTATAACACTCATTGAGTCAGGAATGTATCCTAGGTGGTCAATTTTTTCCACTTAACCCTCATTGTGCCCCTCCCCCTCATTATTACCCTATCTCTCTGTTAATTAGACACGAATTACATTAATTGAGATGAGATGTCATGATTAACCCTCCCATTGCCAGCAGTGAGTTACCTGGAGGTGTATTTTTGGGAGCTCCCATCGTCATAGGTAAAACTCTGGTTGGTGTAGCACTCACTGCACATCCTTCTCCCACTTTCTCCAGGCTCCAGCTGGTGGTGATGGTGGTGATGGTGGTGAAGGGCAGTGGATTTGTAGATCCCTTGAAGGCTCCTATCTTCAGTGGTAAATGGCATCTGAGAGTTGGTTTAAATCCCTGATACTGAGAGTATCTCCAGCCTTTATTCTGATATTTTGGTCTTTTCTTCCAGCTGCTCCTGAGCCCTGCATGCACTAGATCTGCTCCAGTTTAACCAATGGGGTGTCACCCCACCACCACTACCAATACCTTCCTTAGCTTGTTCTCAAGTCCTGCAGGTGGGGACAAGCTGGCTCATTAGCATAATGGTCCTTTAAGTAAGTCAGCACACACAGTCCCACTATAGCAGGCTGCTCTGACTGCCTGGGATCTCTAAATATAAATAATCAATAATTCTCTTCATAAAACCCTTTCTGGGACTTTCACCCAACCAGCTTCCAAGACAATCCCATCCTTCCTGCTTTCAATAGTGTCAAGTGACTGCAATCCAGTGGCACCTTTATCTTAAAGCCATTTAAGGAACACAAATTAAAAAAAGAAACTCTTTGTTGATCTTTCGTAAAAAATGTGTTTTTCTTTCGTTCTGTTATTTTATTCTCTCCTTTTTTTTCTATAGAATTAATGGTCCATTTTACACCATGGGGAAAGGGGGATTTAAATCCCCCAATAGGGTGGTGTTTTGGCACCACCTGCTGGTCATGCTAGATATTGCAGGTTATAGATCCTAAGACACATGTTGAGCTGAGATATTGTGTATCATTTATTGTA